CCCGCCCTCGCCCTCGGCACCCGCAGCCACGATGAACCGGGGCGGCAGCAGCCCCTCGGCCGCCACCAACTACCTGCTCTGCACCAACTGCCGGAAAGTGCTGCGGAAGGTACGGGCTCGGTCCGGGGTCTGGCCCCCCGGGGGCGCTTTCCAAGGCCGGGCCTCGGGCTGCCCGGCCCCGGGGCAAGCACTTGGGGCAAGCTTGGAAGGGATCCCCGAGCACGGTCCCTGCACGGAGACCGAACAAGGGGGCGTGGGTTGAGGGTGGAAGGTTTGCACTGTTGCTTTTTTTCTCTGCCGGGACGGATGCTAGTCCCGAGGGGTTGGGATATTTTTCTTCTTTCTCTTGGTACCTTGTGGTGTTTTCGGTTCGCCTCCCTACTTGCCACCCCGAGTCTGCTCCCCCGGCGGAGGGAGGGAGGACCCGTTCCTCTGTGCGTCTTGGCGGCTCGATCCACCTCCCTATGCAGTTTAGCTGTTGATGGAGATTGGTGTGAAATCTCAACAGTGTGGTCTGGAGACCTGGCTCCCTCTTTGCTGTGGCTAACTCTTGCGGCTGTTGTTTTTGTTTATTAGTTGCTTCTCCTTTGCGCGCCCTCCCCTAACACCCCCTTTTAAAATTCTTTGGCTGTTGGTCCAGTGTCTATAGTTCAGTCATTAAAGGAATGATAAAGCAGCTTTGAACTTTATGCCCATGGGAAATGCTAGTCGACCTTACAGTTCCTTAGTCTGGGGTTGGGGGCGGTGGAGACTGAGGTGAATGTGGGTTATCCCTCCTTAGCACCCCTCCCCCAGTGTTGATCCAGAAAAAATCAGTCGCATAATCAACTCATTGCTTCCCAGAGTGACTGATAGAAAGTTTACTCCAGTACTGTTTAGCTTACTTGGCTTAACCAGTTCCTTGGTGGGGGGAGGGGGAGCCTTTGCTGAAAAATGTCGCTTTAGACGGAGAAAAGCTTTTAATCGGACTTTTAACAGCCGCCACTGGGTAATATTCTAATCAGTTTATTATTCGCCACACTCTATTTTCACATCGATTAGGTGGAAACATTAGTTGAGGTGCTACGGTTTGTGCAGTACAAATGAATTAAAACTGCTGAGTGTGCAAATGCATTGAGATTGAAAGACTAAGTACGGTACCGTTTTTAGTCAATTTCTCGAACTACGGTCTACGTTGGAATTGTTCTTTATATATTTTTAAAAAAGAAAGCATGTAAGTAAGCAAGCTCAAATATTTGCGCTCTTTGTCCAAAAACTGTTTTTCTTCCTTTGTGGGTCAGGCCAAATGCCAATCAAAGTTGTTTTTCAAGCCTCTTTTCCCTGCAGTAGGGCTGCTGCTGCTTTTTTTTTTTTTTTTTTTAAGAGCATAAGGAAAGCAAAGGGATTGCAGATTTGAAGTCAGTCGAGCATTTAAATATGCCTTACGTTGTATTTATTGGATATGTTTCTCTCGAAACAGATTTTTATTAAATGTGCATGTTGAGTATGTGCAGTTATTTTTTTTTTTCATAAACTCCGGGATCAAATTACAGTTGATACTTGCACTGCTCATTGTAGCGCAGCTTGTGAGAAATGTAATGGATCAGAAGTGCAGATCAGCTCAGTTGAATGTTAACTCTTTCACCTCAGGGCCAGATGCCATCTGAATTTAGCTTATTATTATCATTATTTCTTAACTTTGAAAGTGATGATAATATGTTTTTGGCATGACAAGCATTTTTTTAGACATATTTGATTAAGCTCCAGCCTGGTTAAAATGATAGCTAGTTTTGTTTTGTTTTTTAAATTAAATAAGGGGGGAAAAAGAACTATATTGACCTACATAAAGAAGTGTGTGTGTGTGTGTGTGTGTGTGTGTGTAATGGCGCTGACAATTTGGTAGACTAATGAAATGTTTGAAGGTAAAATTAGACTTCAAAATCTATTTTATTTTTCTTTTGAGAAAACTGGCTATGGCTACCTGACACTTCCCTAGCAATTGAGACATCTTTATATCTTACTCTTAGCTTCTAAGAAATTATTCCTGTTTACCTAGAAAGAACATCCTCATTTCTGATTGTTACTAAAAGAAGTATATGAAAAATGGATATTCATCATTTCCATATTCTGTTTGCTGTGCACATCTGTGCCAATATTCCAGTTTTTAGTAACTCGAAGGTATTTAATACTGATTCGTGCAGTAGCATGAAGTAACTTTAGATGGGAATGGGGTTGTTTGAGCCAGTTATGACATGACTTGGCAACATGTACAGCTTTTTTAGAGTGCCATCCTTAAGTGCTCTTAAAAGAAATCAAAGTCTAGCATTTTAAATTTATCATTCTAAAAATAGCATGAAATAATTTGTTTCTAATAGACACTTTTCTTTTTGCTAGAAAGTATATAACTCTAAGTAAAATTCAGCTATAACTCAAAAAGTAGTTTTCTGAATTTATCTTGTTTTTTCCATTAATAAAGTGTTCAGTAATAACCAAGTGAGTCATAACATTTTGAATTTTAGTTCAGAGTAGTTCATAATGGAAGAATGAAAGACATGCACACCCAGTGTGAACTGCTGTTTGCTGTTAGGACCCTCATTAATGATGGGAGGAGGATCACCTTCAGAAGCCTTTTTCTCCCTGTAAGTGGCTTGATTTGTTGAAATGTGTTTTTTGGGAGAACTTCAAAAGGAACTGGATTTAACTTCAGATTAAATAATTTGGTTTAACCCAATATCTGAAAATTGAATTTTATATTTAATGAGAATCACATTTATGCTTAGCATGCCTTTATAGTTTTGATTCAGTATCTTCAAAAATAAAAAGACTTCTTAAAATATTGAATGTGCCTAATATAGGAACCTTAGATCAACTGAGTTAAACCATGCACAGAAATAACAGCAGCAACAAAAAACTATCCACAAATCTATAACTCCTACTAAGCTTGTGTTGTCACTAAGATGGTTCAATAAAGTTTTTAATAAAAGGAAATGCTTCTATTTACTTTATAAAGTTAGTGAGTTTTGAAGTGTGATACATTTGACTTGAAGAAATTCCAGTGACAACTAGATAGGTGTGCTCCCTCATTTTAATTTCAAAGTGGGGTGTCAAACTCATTAGGGAGGAGGTAGGTATTTACCTTAGTAAGTCAGTCCACTCATCTTGTGGTAAATACAAGGTGGCATGTTATGATGTACTTTTTGACTCTTAAGCAGTTAGTGCCACTGAAATAAGTGAAACTCTGCACTATAAGTTAGAAGACTTAACATTTTAAAATTCTCAATATGTTTGGGTAGTTCCAAGGATAAATGTTTCTGTGGTTTTTGCACTTCTACATTTTGTTTATATAACCACAAATGTTGACAACTTTTTGATGGTTTTATAAGTGAAGATATTTCCAAATTCAAATGGGAAATATTAGATTGAACTCTATGAACCTCATTTTTATAGATCAGAATTGTCAGATACTAGCAGTTTCATATGGTACAACCAACAGAATGGAATTGATTTGAGTATGGATTGATAGCTATATTTTGCCCTGGTTAGTCAGGTTTCTTATGTATATCTTTTTTATTGTAAAAGACAGTCTTTTACCTGATTTTTATCTTAAACTAAGCAGAGATCAAGCAATGAATTGAAGACTGTAAACCATAGTGCAGTGGTTTCAAACTGCATTCAATGGAACCCTAACATGCTTCAGGGTTCAAAAGAGCTTGAGTTGGATTAAATTTCTAAATATATTTTAAATTATAATTTAGTAATATAGCTGCCCCCCAAAATGTATTATACTAAATTTCAACATATTTGGAGCCTGCACAATTATATTTTGTTAAAAGATAATTTATTCTTTGTGCAGGTCTTGAATTAAAACTTGTTCTGCTATCTTTGTACTTATAGTTGAAATGTTTCTTAGTATTTCATTGATGAGAAAGATTGGTTATGAAAGCACTGACCATTTAAAAAGTCTAAACATGTCTACTCATGTTAAATTTTTACATATAAGAGCACAAAGTTATTGTTATTGGTAATTGTTACTCTATAAGTAAAATATTGCAAAAGTTGTTGCTGTTGTATATTTGTATGTTTCATATATTCAGGTTCAGTATAAGATTTCATTGGTAAAATGGATTCTGCTGCCCCACCCAAACAAATAAATAAAAACATAACTGCTGATGTAATGATACTGAAGGTCACAAGATGTGGTTGCACTTAGATCTTTGACAGATCTTTTAATTTGGGCAAGTTAGTTTTGAGTCTAATTTTGTCTGTAAAATGTAGATGATTTCTACCTGTCTTACAGGTTGCTGTGTGGCTTGAGAGAGATAATATGTATTAAAGTACTTTGTAAAATCATAAAGTATAGCTATAAAATAAGATAGAAAAAACAAGCCTATTTATGCCCCCTTTTCCCAGAATACCCCAGTTCTTTGTGTGTTGTTGTAATGTACCTCAATACATACTGAGCAATTTGGTTAATCTTCACTTTTCTGGCCAGTTTAGTTATTGCCTGTAAATGAGAGGTAAGAATATTATGCTTTTAGTTAGAATAATGTACATATTGATTATCGATTTGCATATTTCTATTTGTATTCTTCTCCCCCACTTAAATGATAATCCAGTGTATTGGTTTTGGTTTTTCAAATCAATTAAATAAAACAAAATTGTCTCTGACACTTCAGTAGATGAAGGAAATTGGTATTTTGTTTAAAAAGAATGTCAGAGATAAGTATGCTTAATAGAAGTGGGAGTAAATTTAGGGTAAAGCAAAAAAAATTCACTTAGTTTAGGAGAAAAGTTATGGAAATAAAAGTCTCTTAATGTTTTCTCCTTATTCTTCCTCCCTTTCTTCTTCCCCTTTTGAAGAGTTGGGTTATAATAACATGTTTGTATAGACCTTCACAACTTTTAGAGTACTTTCATACTATCTCAGTTAATTCTCACAAATTGAAACTGGGAAAATTTAAGGGTCATGGCCTCTGTCATACAGCCAGAATTAAGAAGTATATTTAGTTCTTAATACTGCTTCTAAAATACTGCTTCAAAACTGGATTCTAACTGTCCACTGCAGTATTAAGGCTGCCAGGGACTGTCTACTCCCAGCTCCAGTATCTGTGGAATGCCCATAGGTACTTAAAATTCCCCAGGTAATATTGATTGGAAGTATGAAATTTAGCCACTCTTGAACATATTATTGCAGATCAGCTGGAGGAGAGTAGGGAGGAAGTAGCTGGCTACTTTTATTTTAACAGCTGTGTGGTTAATTCCTCAATAAGGTAAAACAGC